AGTATCGGGGCTGGGATTTCGGTACTCTGTTCACCGAATGGGGCGGAAAAGTGGGGGAATTTAATAGAGATATTCCCGACGATGAGATTATTAGGCCATTCATTGAGTGGTATATCGAGGAATCGGTCAAAATATTTGAGAATGAGTTCACAAATGATAAACAAAATTCATTTGAACCATTTAACAGTAGTTTATTAACAATTTAGTTATAAATAAATAAATTAGTATTAATATTGTTTTTAGTATCTCTTAATAGGGTTAATATCCCTGGTCAGTGTGTCTGATGGTGTGATCCATGCACTCTTCACTGCAAACTTATTCAAATCTACTTTTGGATCACTTTTGCCAAAGTTATCGATAGAGTCCTTATGAACCAATTTTTTGATCCAATGATTTCCGCGACGTTTCGTCAAAAACTTGTCGATAATAAACAGATTAAAGTCAAGGGATGTCTTCTGGGCTTTATGTGGTTGGATGTGTTCCTCCAAATCCATGCCCTCCCGTCTCATCTCAGCGATGATGGCATCGAAGTCGTAGTACTCGTGCCTAATGTTGTGGATCCAGAGGTCGGCGCCCAATATCTCCTCCTCAATACACATTCGGATGGGAATGACTTTATCGATGGTGGCCAACAGCATCCATGTGGTGATCCCACTCCACAGACTCACGCTTATCACTGCCAGACACTGGACGCCAAACAAGTGAAAGCCGCCCCCTTTGAACAGACCTGACTGTCCGCGAGTTAGACCACCGTTGGGTGAAATATAGGGCTCGCCAACGGTGAACAGTCCCACACATAGAGCACCCACCTGTCAAACACATGAAAATAATATTTGTTTCATTTTGTTTGGATAGACTTGAGTCGTGAGTACTATTCCTCCGCCCGCGTGAACGGCCACAGCGCCCACCGGGTCGTCGATTCGGAGACTATCCAAAAAGGGAGCGATCAATGTGTTGGCTATACAGCCCAGGGATCCGATTATGAATGAGTCAAAAGGCTGGAAAAATCCGGCGCCACTCGTCACGGCTACCAGTCCTGTGTTTGAGAGGAAATACGTTTTAATTAATAAATTACACGATTAAATATAATGAGGACTCACCGGCGAGTATGCCATTGAGGATAGGACTGACTTCGGCCCTCCCGTTAGTAATGAAGCAATAAATAAGAGCAATGAGTCCGCCGGCGAACGATCCGTTGAGTGTAGTGACGGCCGCCCTTTCGGCGAACTGCCACTTGTTATGACTGACGCCAAAAGTGGAGCCGCAGTTGAAGCCGAGCCAACCCCACCACAGGGCGAATGTGCCGACCACTGCATTCACCGGGTTTCCCATCGGCAACGGGTCCGTCCCCTTCTCGTATCGTTTCACTCTGGGTTTCAGCATATATGCGGCCACTAATGCAGACACACCTCCTTCCAGAGTAGCCCTTATTTATTACACAATTGTTTTCATACACAATAATAGACAGACTGACCGATTAAGTGAACGCAAGCAGATCCGGCAAAGTCCAGGCATCCCATCTTATACAGCCATCCCGTGTCCCTCCATATCCAACCCGCGGGAATACAATAGACAATTGTATTCAAGAGTGAGAACAGTATGTATGCGTTATAATTGGTCCTCTCGGCCATAGACCCGGACACTATGGTTGTGGCGGTCGTGCAAAAGGACAGTTGGAATATAAAACTTGCAAAACTGGGGCCCATGTGGTCGTCATCGGAATCGAGAAACCAATAGCCCGCTCCATACCAACCGGTATGGCCCTCGTCATCACCAAACTGTAGTCCGTATCCAATGGCCCAATAGAAGAGACCTCCGAGCACTACATCCGCCACATTCTTCATCAGTATATTCACCTCATTCTTCTTAGCACAGGCGCCCGACTCCAGGAGCCCGAAGCCGGTCTGCATTGTGAATATGACGAAGGCTGAGGTCAGTATCCAAGTGGCGTCATCGGAGGTCGGCTCAGCAGAGGACACGTCCGGGTTGTAGACATTGCTGGGCGCCAGTTCTGGTGCTGTTGACATTGTGGTGCTCACCAATTGGTAGTGATCCAGGATCACTGATCCTAATATTTGGATTTAGGTCTTAAGATGCGTTCAACCAAATTCTTGTCGTATTGCTGTTGAAAGGAATTACATGTTTGTCTGAGTATCACATTCACTGTTGAACTGAAATGATTGTGGTCATAAATCTTAATACGTTAAGATGTAAGTTAGGGTTAGACAAGTTTGCGAGTGTGTGGCCATACTAACGCTTATTTTACTTTATTATTGATTTTTAGTTCATAGATAAATTAATAAACTATAATTTAATATTTATTTCTTTTTTGATTAAATAAATTTATTTAATATTGCTACTTTAATTATTGATACATACCATACAATTATATTGATACTTTACTACAAATTCAATATTATTCTATTAGTTATTACAGTAATATCGGTCAGTAATTCAAAAAACTTTTATAAAAACATTGAATAATAAATTGATTATTGATAGAACTAACAATCTATAAATTCTAGACTAAGAACTAAGCTTGCTAAGCAATAAACTATCATTTCTATCCTATAACTTACATTAATCAAATTAAATATAAATGACTAATAAGTCTGATCTATTTTTATTTTTATGTGTTTTAAATCATCCTTTTTCATGTTTTTGACTCAATAAAAAAGTTAATTAACTTTCTATACAATAACTACCGTATAACGTATCTAATGGATATCAACTCCTTTTATTGTTTGCAAACAATTTCACTTATTGTTAGTTATTGAATATACAAATAATTTTTCATTTAGTACTGTAGTACTAGTATGGCAATTCAATTTTGCCAATGATATATCAATAAAAATTTAGTTAAAATTGTAAATTATAATACTTTTATTTTAAAACAATATTATTTAAAACTTATAGCATTAGTATTATTATTAAAAATGAGTCGTTTCAACAAAAGTCGAGTTCATTTAGCTGAAGATATATCGTGGGACGATGCGACCTGGATACTCACCTCATCATTCATAATCTTCACAATGCAAACTGGATTCAGTTTATTGGAGTCCGGATTCGTGCGGCGCAAGAATC